CAGGACTTGTTTGACAGATTCGTACACAAAGAATAACAGAACATTATTATATTGTCTAGGATAATAGAATTCGATAAAGCCATAACGAAAGAAAGTGCATTATTAATATTACATTTAATACGAACAATAATTTTGCCTTAAAAGTCTAGAATATTAGTCGAAATATGAGTGAAGCTTTTGTCGCTATACCTAAGCCGGGGGAAGTCATTTTTGGAATTAATTCCAGTAGACCAAAAGAAGAAGTTCAAGAAGTCATCAACTTCAAGGCTCAAGATCATTCTGGACCGACATTAAAGGTTGGCAAGTTTTAAAATAATCGATATTTTTCTAACCATATTGTTGGGATGTAATTCGGTAATGCACTCATTTCCTACCCTAGAGTTAATTTGACTTAAGAAAAGTCACTTGTTTGGGAAAAGATGGAATTTGTAGTAGCTACTTTAGTAATGGGCAATTTTTATGTTTCAATTATCTACTTAAAATGTTGTCTTGTACCATATCAATATTTTATTAGTAAGTAAGCATTAAGTAATAGGATGCAGGTTTAGAAAAAAATCTCAGTCTCTATATATATATATATATTAGGTTGTCAAATATCTCCCTTCCGCTTTTTTGCTCTTGGTTTATAATACAAAAAGGCGGAAGGGAGATATTTGACAACCTATTATATATATATATATATATGGCTGACAAGGACTATCTGGAGAGTTTTGAAATATGCTGCCGGAGGCAAATGTGGCCAGGCAAGATAAATAAAGAAGTTCCAGGAAGAGTGGGCAAAGAAAAGACTCTACTGAACACAATCCTGCAAGGAAAGGAAACTGATTCGAACACATTCTGCAAAAATATTACCTTTTACACACATTGTGGAAGGTTATATAGAAAGACTAAAGTCTAAATCGATATTTTTCTAACCATATTGTAGAGATGTAATTCAGTGATACACTCATTTCCTACCCTAGAGTTAATTGACTTAAGAAAAGTCACTTGTTTTGGAAAAGATGGAATTCGTAGTAGCTACTTTAGTAATGCACAATTTTTATGTTTCAATCATCTACTTAAAATGTTTTCTTGTAGCATATCAATATTGTATTAGTAAGTAAGCATTAAGTAATAGGATGCAGGTTTAGAAAAAATCTTCAGTGTATATACACTGAGATTTATATATATATATATATATATATATATATATATATATATATATATATATATATATATATTGCTGATAAGGACTATCTGGAGAGTTTTGAAATATGGTGCCGGAGGCGAATGTGGACAGACAAGATAAATAAAGAAGTCCCGAGAAGAGTGCGCAAAGAAAAGGCTCTACTGAGCACAATCCTGAAAAGGAAAGGAAACTGTATCGAACACATTTTGCAAAAAGAGTACCTTTTGTACACTTTATAGAAGGTTATATAGAAAGACTAAAGTCTAAATCGATATTTTTCTAACCATATTGAAGAGATGTACTTCAGTGATACACTCATTTCCTACCCTAGAGTTAATTTGACTTAAGAAAAGTCACTTGTTTTGGAAAAGATGGAATTCATAATAGCTACTTTAGTAATGTGCAATTTTTATGTTTCAATCATCTACTTAAAATGTCTTGTAGCTTATCAATATTTTATTAGTAAGTAAGCATTAATTAATAGGATACAGGTTTAGAAAAAAACCTCAGTCTTCATATATATATGGCCGACAAGGACTATCTGTAGAGTTTCGAAATATGCTGCCGGAAGCAAATGTGGACAGACAATATAAATAAAGAAGCCCCGAGAAGAGTACGCAAAGAAAAGACTCTACTGAACACAATAATCCTGCAAAGGAAAGAAAACTGAATCACACATTTTGCAAAAAGAGTGCCTTTTGCACACTTTATAGAAGGTTATATAGAAAGACTAAAGTCTAAATCGATATTTTTCTAACCATATTGTAGAGATGTAATTCGGTAATGCACTCATTTCCTACCCTAGAGTTAATTGACTTAAGAAAAGTCTTGTTTTGGAAAAGATGGAATTCATATTAGCTAGTTTAGCAATGCACAATTTCCATGTTTCAATCATCTACTTAAAATGTTGTCTTAGCATATCAATAATATTTTATTAGTGAGTAAGCAATTAATAGGATGCAGGTTTAGAAAAAAATCTCAGGTTCCCTATATATATAGCCGACAAGGACTATCTGTAGAGTTTTGAAATATGGTGCCGGAGGCGAATGTGGACAGACAAGATAAATAAAGAAGTCCCGAGAAGAGTGCACAAAGAAAAGACTCTATTGAACACAAACCTGCAAAAGAAAGAAAACTGATTCAAACACATTTTGCAAAAAGAGTGCCTTTTGCACACATTGTGGAAGGTTATATAGAAAGACTAAAGTAAAGTGACAGACAAGATAAATAAAGAAGTCCTGAGAAGAGTGGAGGAAGAAAGGAATCCACTAAGTACAATCCTGAAAAGGAAAGGAAACTGGATCGAGCCCATTCTGCAAAAAAGTGCCTTTTACAGAATGCTGTGGGAGGACTTAAAACTTTTGTTTTTTTTCAACTTTTTGGATTCTTTGTTCCAAGCTCTACAATATATATATATATATATATATATATATATATATATATATTTATTAATTGTTTAATATGAACAAAACAGCACTCAGATTTGTTTAACACAACTTTATTTTATGATTACAGACGTTTCGAGACCATGGTGTGTCTCATCTTCAGTGTAATTTCAAAAACAGTTACTTATATACTACACATTCTTTAATAATTTATTTAAATTTCATTTAATTTTTGGTATACAAAAAACACCAACTATTCCTTGCAATGCTTGACACAGTACTAAAGAAACATATAACACTTACAGATATTCTAAACAAATTTGAAGTACTTATATAGATGGAGACAGAGAGGGTATCATTATAATGTAAACAAAAGGAGTGCTATCGCATACAAAATCGATAAAAATGAAAAACAAATAATTTATTGAAAAGAATAAGATAAATGAAAAAATTTATAAATTATTAATAATGTTTATATAAGTGTCATGTAAAATATTTGTGTCGGTTCTTAGATTTATGCTATTGTTAGTCCGAACTATTAACATTGATTCTGCCATGCTCCGTTTAAATAAGTCTTTCTCATGGAATAAAATTTGGGGATTGTCAAAATCAAACTTATGGTTGTTGATATTAGCATGATCCACAAGTGTACTTTTAAATTTTTTGTTATCTATTTTTACATTATCCTTTATGTTATGTTATCCTTTTGTTTACATTATAATGATACCCTCTCTGTCTCCATCTATATAAGTACTTCAAATTTGTTTAGAATATTTCTGTAAGTGTTATATGTTTCTTTAGTACTGTGTCAAGCATTGCAAGGAATAGTTGGTGTTTTTTGTATACCAAAAATTAAATGAAATTTAAATAAATTAATAAAGAATGTGTAGTATATAAGTAACTGTTTTTGAAATTACACTGAAGATGAGACACACCATGGTCTCGAAACGTCTGTAATCATAAAATAAAGTTGTGTTAAACAAATCTGAGTGCTGTTTTGTTTATATTAAACAATTAATATTCGTTCCACTCATATCATAAAATTCTATATATATTTATATATATATCTTGATAGTTTTTTCAACGTTGAAACATATTTCAAAGTAACTAGCTGCCCATTCGTGGATATAAAAATGTAAAAAAGTATTTAAAACCTTTTATTTATACGTTTTGACACCGATGCGTGTCATGATTCAGCAACTACAATAAATTTGAAACAATTTACTAATAATAAAAAAACAAATATAAAATAATTAAAACTATAGAGAACATTATAGAGTGTTTATTTACAATTGGTATGTATAATGTTTCTCTATAGTTATAATTATTTTATATTTGTTTTTTTATTATTAGTAATTAGTAAATTACTAGTTACTTTGAATATATATATATATATATATATATATATATATATATATATATATATATATATATATATATTTATTTATTTATATATGGAAATAATTGTATGTAAATAGCATAAAACATTTTTCAAAAAATTTTAAAAATGTTTTTAGATATAATTTAGCAAACAAATAAATGAGTTTTATTCAAAATTTGTCACTAAGTTATACCTAAAAATTTTTTTTTTAATTTTCAAAATTTTTCCATGCTATTTCAATACCAAAGAATTGTTTTTTATCAATTTGGAACTTGGGAAAATGGTCATTTTCGAATTTCCTTACTCCCAGGGGCTCAAATGGTTCCAAATTGATAAAAAACGATTCTCTGAAAGTTTTAGCTCTTAATATTAATGTTTAGATAGAGCGCAATTCAATCAAAGTTTTGTATGGAAATAGCATGGAAAATTTTTTATAAATTTTAAAAATGTTTTTTAGATGTAATTTAGTGAGCAAATGAATGAATAAAACTCATTCATTTGTCGCTAATTTATACCTAAAACATTTTTTTTAATTTTCAAAATTTTTTCCATGCTCTTTCCATACGAAGTTTGATTGAATTGCGCTGTATCTAAACGTTAATATTAAGAGCTAAAACTTTCAGAGAATTGTTTTTCATCAATTTGGAACCATTTGAGCCCCTGGGAGCAAGGAAATTCGGAAATTTCCATATTAAGGACCACCCTAATATATATATATATATATATATATATATATATATATATATATTTATATCCTTTATTAATTTTGTCATCATTTTGTTATATCAATTGCCTAGGCTTTCTACATATATCGCCGTCTTAATAAATTTATTTATTATTTTGTATGTTTATTCCAAAAATTTCAGTGTACTTACAATGAAATCGATTGCCCCATCGCACACAATTACCAATAATTATTGCTAAGCCGGGTTGGAGTTGGGGTGCATCATCTGGGGCCAATTCTAAGGGTGTTGCAGCTGCCGTTATTTGGCATAATGAATATGCTGGACTAACTGCTGATGATAGTTCTAATAGTTTAGTGCCTCTTGATTTTGTCAGGTAAATAATGATAAATTATCAAACTATTTGGCAAGATCAATTACCAAGGTATTTCTTTCTGTTTAGACTATGTTTAGAACAGAGTCAGTCATCTGAAGAAGGTGTTGAGGTTATTTCTAAATATTTGGAAGCTCACGGACCCAATGAGACAAAGTATCAAGCATCATATATAATTTGTGATTGTGAGAAAGTCTGGTTATTGAATACAGCTGGAAAACTATGGGCTGCTCAACTGCTACCAAGTATGTCTGCACGGTTTAGTTTCCGATTTATATGAATTTAGTTTATGCCAATTATAATCAAAAATAATTATTTTATTTTAGATGGTCTAAGCAAAATCTCCCCTGGTTTAAGTGTGAAAACAATTGACAAATGTAGTGGGAGTAATAAAGATGAACTAGGAGATTTTTGGCCAAGCGAAGTAAGTTTTTTATGCATTTTTATGCTAATACATTGTTAAAGATTTGTGTTTAACGGATTGTTATAATTTCAGGGTTCAAACTTCTCAACAGAAGTTATAAGTAGCACATTTTCAATTTCCGAACTCTTCAGTGTGTTACGAGATAAGAAAAATAACGCCTTCCACGATCAGGAAAATGTTCAACCAACTCAGAATAGTCACGTATGTTAGAAAATTTATTTTCCACCTGAATTATTATTGACAACAATATCAGAATGCGTAATTTTTTTTGTTCTAGGTGTCATCATTATCTCAAAATAGATTAAATTGTCATTGGTTTACCGCTACTCCTGATCCTAGCATCTCTGTTTTTAAACCATTTATTTTCACACCCGAATGCTGTTGTTTCACCCTTAACAGTCTGCAAGAAACAAGTGCGTTTTAAAGTTTTTTTTTTTGCAATTTTGAACCTAAGTTTTATACTAAATGATAATCAATTGTATTGTTTTTTAGATGATGGCACATACATGCATGGCCTTTTACAAACTTCACTCAGTTGGTGCGACGGATAGAGCAATTGAACTGCTCAAAGATATTGAAGCGTGCTGCGTAGGAGAAGTGCAGCTGTATCTTGAAACAGATTCTAATGTTAATCCTGAATTGGACGAGTTGATGAAAGATTGTGTGGAGGCTGAAGTTAAATTTTATCGTTAAATTTTTACTTATTAAACATTCTGTGATAATATAAATGTAGATAAACTCGAATATTATGTTTTCCTGCAACTGCTTCTGTTATAAACGCTATCAGTATTATGGGATATGAATTTTATGAAAGCATATGCTGAAAGAGAATGAACGAATATCTGACTACAAGGTTAGATGTTTAGGCCATAGGTACAATGTTTGCCAGATATTCAACAACTCAATTCAGACCTAATATTGCTTTTAAATTTATTGTAAAGTCTGATTTACACATGCCATCTTATGATGCATTAGGCATGTTTAACAAGCACAAAATTGTCTGTTGCAAACAGAAGAGCAACAATTATTATGTTTTGTTGCTTGTGCATTTCGAACTCTTTAGATCATTAAATATGAACACCAGCTAGCTTTATTTTATTTGGAGACAATTAAGACTTAAAATATATGAAATGATATTAAATGTGTATTATTAAGTTTCTCTGTCGCATAATTGTAGATTGCATGATAGTGCAATCTGGATAAGATTATTTATTTTAAATGTTAGATTTAATTTTTTTATGCATTACGTGACATGTAGGTATACAATTGATCTATAAGATAACTTAGCATTTATATTGCATGCATTATATGCGAAAAATTCATTCCAATATATTGTACATTGAAATTAATATATTTATTTAAAACACTCACAGTGGCTGTTTGTTCGGCCCTACTAAGAGAGATGTATTTGCTTTACTATTTGAATACATTTTATACTCACATATAGTTTACTCCAACAACAATATAAACTGTCATAAGTAATAAGAGCTTGTAGTATTAACTGACAATTTAATAATCTGTGAGTATTATAAAATTGAGACTTTACGTAGTGTTTGAACAATAAGCCATAAACCATGTATCATTATCAACTTAGTTACATATCTTGCTATAAAAATTTATGGCTCTTTTTTTAATAAATTGTATTATATAGTAAATCTTGCAGGACATCACTAATACAAATAATATTAGTAAATCAAATTCATATATTCTTGAATATGGAAAATATATCCAGGTATCACAAAAAATCAGATAGAGATTGTGCTCTAATAAAAAATATATACAAAATATTAGCTAATTTTACTTAAAATAAAGCAATAAGTAATTCTGGCAAAATTATGTGTTAATGATTCTAATATAATTATGTACTAAGTTTCACCTAATTGAAAAC